AGATGTGCCCACTATGGCCTGAGCACTTTGGCCTTTTTTTGAGAATACAACATTTCTGTGCTTAAAAAGCATCCATTAATCCAGTCAGCTAAAACGTGTTTCTTTTGATAATAAAGTGGTTAATTTATTGCATAGAATCACCTGAAAGTACTAAATATTATTAAAATTTTGTTGTAAATAAACCATAATAGATACAAAATCACAATGGCTAGGCTACTTGGAGGCATCCCCCTGAATGGTAACCAAATTTTATCCAGGTAAATCCACACTGGGAATGGGCATTGCCATTGTTTCAGGCATTTACAAACAAGTTTCTCTGTAATGAAGTTAATCAGTAAACTATATAACCTGTGGCCTGTGTCACTCCTTTGCTAGTCTTAAAGAAAGTTCTCACCGTAAAGAAGTCAACAGGATACAGACAAAGCAGAATTGAGGTTTATTTATGTGTAGACTTTAAGGGGGGCGAGGGGGAAGAAAAAGAGAGGGAAAGGAGGACTGTATACCTTAAGGAGAGTATTTTTCTTCAGGAAATGGTCAGATCGAAGACAGCCTAAGGTAGGACATTGTCACGTTCTTGTTTGGACATGTTTGTCGCCTGATCTTGTTTCCTTCCCTGAAATTGTGGGATGCTCAAAGGTTGTTTAAACCAAGTGATATTTAAAGATCTGCAAATAATTTGTTTGGAATTAAACCAGGATTTCATTAATGGTTATGCTATGATTTCCAAATTACTTAATCCTGAATCTTGTTCTTATTTCTTATTATTATATTATTATATTATTTATGAAGTTCCTTCATGAATATCCCACAGAGAGCCAGAGCTTCCTAGTTTAAACCTGCTTAGAATTTTTTTCTCTTCAAGTAGCTTTATATTAGTGGAGCAATAACTTTTACATTAAAATGTGATCTCACTGTAATTTCTGTAATATTCTGAATAAAAACACCTTCAATCTGCACATAACCTCAGTATAATTCTGCAAAATGAAAATACTTTCTTTAGTTCCTACAATGAAAAATCCCTTTCATTTCTGCAAGTGGTCAAGCTGATGTTAAATACTTTTTCAAGTCTTATGTAAAATGTTCTGTGTAAAATTTAAAGGAACAAAAGCAAAACTCTGAGTTTCAGTTGCAAGTGGTATTGTGGAAAAATATTTGTAAAATGATGACCACAGCCATGTGAAGGTTTCACTTACTTTGATATTGGTAAGCTTTCCAGATTTCTGTAAAATGTTTTTCACTGAAAAACATTCATTTGCAAAACATAATCTAAAAGATCTTTAGCTATAAGTAACATCACATTTGTGTGTGCTTAAGTAGTCTTCATTTAAAAATGTAAAAGATATGCTTGCAAGAGGAAAAACAGATAAATGTTTCAAAATAGTTAAGACCACACAAACATAAAATATAGCTCTATTCCAGAGAGCTCATTCTTGAATTCACTTCCATTGCTTATACTACTGCAAGTCCAGGGATTTCAGTGAGCTAGCTCATGCTTTACAGTGGCATGAGACCAGCCGGTCTCAGACTCCTACTAATATATAGCTGGATAAAAGCATATGTACATTCTGCTTGGCAAGATAAGATTAGGTTTCCGTTGTGATAAGAAACTATTTGTTCTAGACTCGCATGTACTTTGCAAAGCAGAATTCCAAAAAATCAGTGTGGTTTTCAAATGTCACCCAATGTCACCAACTGCGTCTGAAAGCAGAACCCCTTCAGCTTTTGTTGTAAGCCTCATGCATGCAGAGGGTTGGGGAACACAGCTCAGATCACGCTTTTTGGATCAGGTCATAAAAATACTTTGTCCCAATAATTTCAAGGCATCTAGCTTCTATTTCAACCTCATCTTTGTTTCAGTTTTTTAAGATAATATTTCAGAGTAAAGGGACATTTCAACTGAAAAAAATAAAACAGTTTCATTATGAAATAATCTGTATGGAACGCCACCACAATTTTGAACAATTATTTTCAGGAATTATTTTAGGTCACTAACGCTTTGGAGCAGACCATTTTTTGCACAGTTTAATACTTGACAATTTTGTGGGGGAAAAAAAAATATTTGACAACTGTTTTTGATCTGCTCTGGGTAGAGAATGGTGTTTCACTGAGTCAGCCCAAGTTGGCTGATTTCTAAGGATGAAATATAAATACTCACCAAGCCCTTCAAACAGGTATACTTGAAAAAAAAAACAAAAAAAAACCAAACAAAAAAAAAACCCCTTTAAGCTAAAGTGCAGAAACCTACATAGTTGCAACCTAATTATCTTTAAAAATCAGTCTGGTCTCCATAACTGTAGTATCTAAGCACTTCTCAGAGTTTTAACTGTAAACCTGTTTTACATAAAACAAGACCATGTTCTCTCAGTCTCTCTTGACCCTGCCTGTTCTCACTTTTCCCTTCCATTGCTCAATTCAACTGAATTGTTTAATTATGTGCCTGACAGAGAAGAAAAAAGAAGGAGATACAGGTATGGCTGGGTTGTTTGGGGTTTTTTTTGTCATATTTAACTTCATACATAAAGACTCAGTTATTTTTTTTTTCTTCCTGCAGAAGCAGAGCAGAATTAATGATTGTGAAGACTTTTCTAAACAAATCTGTAACCCAAATAGATCTACAGTGGTTTAAATAAACATCCAATATCATCTATGTGCTGCAGCTCTTTAGCAGTCCTGAGTCTTTTAACAAGCCCTGAGATTATCTTTTTGCTGTGGAAGGCGGCTTGCTTTCTCTTCTTGCCCTTTCAGAGGCCCAAGCAGTTCAAGAGGCTGGTATAGAGCTTTTGTGGAACTTCCTGTGGATGCCATAAAGTTAAATATCAACAGTCTCCTCTTCATTTTGGGATTGTCCCACTTTCCTTTAGCAAACTCAATAAACTAAGTAATTACTAAATAGCAAATGACAACTTAGGTCTCCATGGTGAAGAGATTCCTTTCCAAAGGGAGACTGAATGATTTGTATAATGATTGTGTATATCACTGCTAACACCCGGTTTTGTACCTGAACTACCTTGACCAGTCTTAATGAGCAGCAGTCTCAACAAACAGTATATTTAGTTAAAGAAAGACCACTCACTCATTAAACCTATACCACCTAATAAAGGTCAGCATAAAATAATTCTGTCCTCACCCTTTACGTGATTTGTCACTGATGCAGCTGGCAGGTATTAGCGACAGTTTGTATTTGATGCATGAAGCTGTAACTTCACCTCCAGGCTCTTCCACAGAATCCCCAAATGCCTTAATTTTGTCTCAGGTCTCCGTATGTCTACGCTGTTTATGAAAGGGCATAAACTTGGGTCTGTGGAGTGCCTTCTGTTATTCTTCTGCTACTCAAGGCCCTGGCCTCTTCTGGAGCAACAAAATGCAACCATAATTAACCTAGTTATTAGTAATAAATGGCACCGTTTTGTGTCACATTTTTCCTGATGTACATTTTGCTGCTTATTCTTGAGCTGGGACCTCAACATTTGCTATTGGCAAAGATGTGCTGTGGACAATACAGCAATCACATAAATCCAAAACACTTGTATGACTTCTGCACTGTGGTAAAGTAGGAAGGGCAGAAGGCTGCAGAGCAAGAGTGTAAGACCTTGAAAGTGAAAAAGTAGGTGAAACGAAAAGGTTAGTTTCTGGGACTAATTAAAGTGCGACAAAGGAGAAGAAAGAACCACCTACTACAGATTTTTATTCTTTGTTGTTGTTACAGATGTTCCCTCTTCTTAACTGTTAGCATTTCTTCACTGCTTCTGATTCCTCAGAAGTGAATGAGACTTGCCAGGGAACCGACTCCATGTCAGCAAAAATGTTTTTGGAATGCTTCTGAAGCACTGTTAAGTAATGGTCACCAATGAACATTAATTTATGATTTCCTTGTAAACATTGCTGTTTATCCCAGTAAAAGTGGGACTCTGCATCTCCCTGGAAATGTACACTATTTTTCTCAAATTCTCTTCTTGGAACTAATGAAGGAATTGTGTCAGTGTTTTCATGAAACAGCAAGATGTAGCTTTCTCCAATGGAAAATATGAAGTAGTTTGCAAATAACTTTTTAATTACTCTTTTCAGCTAATTGATGTGGGCTTGATTTTAATTACACCCTCCAGGGACTGCTAGATGTTGTTCTACTTGTGGTACAGAAAAAAATGCGACTTCAGTTGTTCAAATTTTTAAATCTGCTATTTAATGGGCAAAGTTAAGGTAGCCTCCAGATACTGTGTCGAACCCGACAGGAAGGATTACCGTTCCTTGTACCACTGCCAGGTTTGTTGTGGGCTCAGAGGTGCTTCATATGAGAACCGCACAACTGCACTGAGTGGCACAGGCTTGTAGGGGCTGGGGACTAGGCTGCAGAGGCTGACTGGGTGACCAGTGGAGGCTGGATGGTGAGAAGGTTACATTTAACTGCTTACATTAGAAATATCTTCTCTGATTCTTCATGGTAACCTCCCTTTCCCCTTTCAGGCTCTTCTAAAAGGTTTATTTCATGTTCTTAGTCTTCTAATTAAGCCTCACTCTGGTCTTTCCCCAATGTAGTTTTTCCCTATCATGACATATTCATTCAGCATTAAATAGAAATTAATACGATGTTTGAGTCTTGATCTAACTTTCACTAATGCAAAAGGAATTTGGCTTTTGTTTGAATTTTTTTTTATTATGCTGTGAGACCTAATCTGGGTTGCTAGCTTCTCTGTGGTGTGGATTGCTCTTTCTTGTAAACTGAACACTTATACGATTAGCTGCACAGCATCTTTCAAGAATTTTTTTATGTAAGTGCCAGACATTTCCACCAATAGTAAAGGAGTGGCTGAGAATGGCTCAATCACTTTTAAAATATCTTGCAATGTATTTGTGTAGGACCAGGAACACAAGAAATCTGAGCTCAGATAATGAAATCTATATGATCATTCCTTGTTTTTGAGCTGGGTGTCTGGAAGTGGAAGCTTCTCTGATAACTGCAGTTTCATAGTAGTAATAGAAACTGGTTTTGCATTATTTTCCAGGTGTCCTTTCAGAGTCAATGAGTTCTTCAGTGCAAGAGACAGATGTGTCACCTTACACACAGTACAACAGTGTGCCATTTCCTCAAGTTCAGCCTCAGATTTCATCACCACCTTACTACTCCAACCTAGGTTTCTACCCTCCGCAGCACGAGGAATGGTATTCCCCTGGGATGTACGAACTCAGGAGAATACCCTCAGAGACCTTTTTCACAAGGGACACAGAGATAATGGATATCCCTACAGCCAAAAAGCCTAGACTGGGTCACTCCACGGGAAGAGTGAAAGGAGAAGAGCTGTGTGTGGTGTGTGGTGACAAAGCCTCTGGGTACCACTACAATGCTCTTACTTGTGAAGGATGCAAAGGTAGGCTGAAATCAATTACAGAATACAATTCAGCTAATAAGCACAGCAGTTTCTGAATTTGTTTTTTTTTCTTTCTTGATAATTTTATCTGTGTCATTAATCATTCTAGAGATTTATGCTTGGATATGATGTACACTATTCTGTATTTTCCCCAAGACAGATTGGCACCACTGCCCTGTGATTACAGAGCACAGTTAGCCAACCTACAGCTCTTGAGCCATCATCAGCTCTTGGTAAACTGAACAACAGCTTCCATGGGGGGGCCTAGCATTCTGGCTCTGCTGTATTGGTGGCTCTTCGTGCCAATCCCTGCCTGTGGAAGGAACCAAGCCCATGGAGGCCCCTGGGAGTCCAGTGCTAGGCTGCCCTACAAATCAGCTGTGAACCCAGCCCAAATGCCTCCTGTAGTGCACACTGTGTGTCAGCACCTAACAGCAGACCCTTCCCCCCAGCTCCCAAATGATACGGTGGATGTCTTCAGGTTTGTGAAACACAAGGATTTATAATTCTAGACTTGTTCTAGGTATAGCCCCTATTCCTAGGGAGGGAGCTTCTTCAGGAAACATGGTATCTGTAGGATAAATATCCGGCTTCTTAGGAGAACAGTATTTACAAGTTGATGTCAGGACAAATGGGATATAGAAAAACACTGCCATTATTGGAAACATGATTGCCAGATATTTTAGCAGAGAGGGACAAAAAGGTTACGCTGATGGAATAACTATTAACCTGCAGACAGTTACTCTGAGACAGGGCTGAGGTACATTACAGAAAGAAAAACAATGTTCCATGTTTTAATTTTATTATGTGAATAAATATTTCAGTATAATTTCTGTTCTACAAAGGCTAAAGCGTGGACACTACCGAAGCACTAAAATATCTTAATGTGGAACTCACTGTCACTGAGAGAGTGGACTTTGAACTAGTTTGGTGGTTTTGCTTTGTCTATTACAGATTCATTTCTAAGGGGACAACAGATCACACTGGTCAACCACTCTAAACACGAACACAGTCAAGGGCTATATAGTTTATATCAATAATTCCAATCAATAAGATATTAATTTCTTTCTACTGTCTGTGTGAATAGTCTCAAAGTAAAAAAAAAAATAAGTAACTCATATGAATGTTGTCAGTATAAACCAGATTCCATTCAATTTTAATGTGAAGATTCCAAGTAATGATACATTTACTGTATTAGTAAGCTATTCCTACTATTTGCTAACTTCTTTATTAGCTGTTTTAGTAATTTTTCAAATTCTTACAATTACAAACTATGGAATTTGTAAAGAATGTTTTTAGGAGAGAGGTTGAAACCACCAGGTAAATACTCAGGCTAAAACCCATGATGAAAGGAAATATGCATTCATCTCTCTACTGATTCATTTTTAATCACTCTATGTAACCATAATTTTACTGCTTTATTGGGATAATTTATTTTATATTTTCACTCTGTTTCATGACTGCAACATCATTTACAAAGAACAGAACCCTTGATCAACCATAGTAAAAGCTGAATTATTTAAAGATAATGCATTCTGTTTCTACAATAAACTTTAGAGGTGATCAAAGTACCAGCTGATTCAGTAAAAAGATGTACAGAGGACAGTAATACTGTTTGACAAGGTGAAAAAGATATTATGTTTTCTAGACCTCTGATCATTCTGGTGTATCTGTGGAATTTTTCACATGGGTATACATTACCCTCAAAGCATGGCGACCAAAATTGGGCTTGGTACTTCAGTTGTGCACTTACCAGTTCAGTAGAAGAACTACTTCACGTGTCTTACCTACAAGCATGAGATTAGCCCTTCTTTTTGGCAACAAGACTGATAATTCATAATCAATGTGTGTCCAAAATAATAAGCAGGTCCCTTTCTGCACGACTGGTGCTCACCTTGCAGCACCCCTGCTCCACTGACGCTGTAGATATTCTTATTCAAAGGGGGAGGCTTTGCGCATATTTTTATTGGATTCAGTCCTCCATGATTAATATGTTAATTTATTTTTTTCATTTCTTTGTTGGGTAATGCATTCAGCAACACCCTTCATTCTTTTTGTTCTTCTTTCTTGGGTAGAAGGAAAAATATTAAGATTTTATTTATTGTTTTTCATGAGAATGTTAATCTAAAGATATGGGCAGGAGTATGCTCTTCTATATATATATGTTTTAATATATTACCATCCATTAACAAATAAGTATGTACTATTTTATCAATATTTTATATATTATGCAAAAGCAGATTAAACAGAATACATGCTCCAGCCTTCTGATCATCTTTGTGGTCCTCCTCTGGACCCGCTCTAACATGTCCGTGTACTTCTTGTGCTGAGGACTCCAGAGCTGGACGCAGTACTTCATGTGGGGTCTCACGAGAGCAGAGTAGAGGGGCAGAGTCACCTCCCTTGACCTGCTTATCACGCTTCTTTTCATGCAGCCCAGGACATGGTTGGCTTTCTGGGTTGCAAGTGCGCCTTGCCAGGTCATGTTGAGCTTCTCATCCACCAGCACCCCCAAGTCCTTCTCTTCAGGACTGCTCTCAATCCCTTCTCCTCCCAGCCTGTATTTGTGCTTGGGATTGCCCTGACCCATGTGCAGGACCTTGCACTTGGCCTTGTTGAACTTCATGAGGTTAGCATGGGCCCACCCCTCAAGCCTGTCATGGTCCCTCTGGATGGCATCTCCAGGGTGTCAAATGCACCACACAGCTTGCTGACCTCGGCAAACTTGCTGAGGATGCACTTGATCCCACTGTCCGTGTTGCCAACAAAGATATTAAACACCACCAGTCCCAATGCCGACCCCTGAGGATTGCTACTAATCACTGGTTTCCACTTGGACATCAAACCATCAACCACAACTCTCTGAGTGAGACCATCCAGTCAATTTATTATACACCAAGTGGTCTATCCGTCAAATCCATGCCTCTCTAATTTAGAGACAAGGATGTCAGGCAGGACAGTGTCAAATGCTTTGCACAAGTCCAGGTAGATGATGTCAGCTCTTCCTTTATCCACCAATGTTGTAACCCTGTTGTGGAAGGCCACCAAATTTGTCAGGCATGGTTTGCCCTTAGTAAAGCCGTGTTGGCTGTCACCAACCACCTCCTTATTTTCCATGTGCCTCAGCATAGTTTCCGGTAGGATCTGCTCCATGATCTTCAAAACACTCCTGATAATGCTTGATGTCTCTCACATCAGACTGAGCATACTTCCTGCAAAGAAGGGTCCCACTTTAATCTTCTCCTCACACTAAGAAACACCCACCATGTGGGTAGGGGAGAAAGGAACACTGTCGCATGTCTTGACGGTCTGAGTGGAGCAGGTGCTTTGTTAGCAATTGTGAACTTCAAAAACTTTTAAATTTAAAAACCCAAAGCAGTTGGCCATCAGGATAGCAAAATGAGATACTTACAAAGCTTTCATCTACATTTTTAACAGCTGTCCTCCTTCAACTTTCATAATTTCCGTAAGAAAAATCAGCATCAGTAACACTGGAGCAGCTCTAGCCATAATTAATCATAGTCATGATTAGCTAAGAGAACAAAGCAAACTCAACATTTCCAGCCAACATGAGCTTTTTGTAATTTGGTAAGATCAGATAAAATTTCGACTGTGCCAGAAAAACCTTCTGCTTTTGGGGCTGCCCCTTCATTATTCTCACAGATGCTATTTCTAATTTGTCTCTGAGTTTTTGTAGAACTCCTCCTAGTATAGAAAGTCACACATAAAATATTTCAGGCAGTTTAAGTTCACTTTGAATTATTAGTAAAGAATATATATAGAAAATTGACCCATACAAAAAAGGTAATTTCAAAATTAATTATGCATTCTGTTCAAGAAGACTATAATTCAAGAGTCACTTCATGATAACACTGAAGTGAGAGAAGGGTTAAAACAACTTTACCCAAAAAAATTCACTTTTCATTTCACATCATTTCACTTTTTTAAAATCTTTGTTTTCAAGAGCAAATATTTGGCTGCTTGAGTCCAATTGGCTTCTATCTTTTTGCATCTCTAGTTTTGCATTTGTCTTTCATATTCCTACTTTTAAAAAAACTCATTTACTAAAGCTTTTTCTTTCCTCCTCCATGAAAAAACAGACACACACCTTGTGGACAGGGTGAGTGATAAAGTAATCAATCCTACTTAAAATGTCATAAATATTTGCACTGAATTTTTCAACATTTACTACTAATTAATGTGTAATGAATTACAGGATTTAAATTTAAGAAATAAAATTCAACTAAATGATGTAAAGCAGATGCAGTTGGCTTTAATTGACGCTGAGAACCTACACCTTAAATCCAGGCTTTTTTCTTCCTTCCCCGACCAGTAAATGGTAATGTATTAAACACCACAAGAACGATGAATAAAAATAATGCCTGGGGCTGATGGAGGTTCTAAGCAATCTGCATTTCAAAAGAGACTGATGCCAGTCAACCGTATTTATCTGAAAAGAAGCCAATAAAACAGACAGCATAGAAGAGATCTCATGCAGGAAATACAGCAGATTTAGAGAAATGACAGATTTTTTTTGTGACCAGATAGTGGAATTATTTTACTGGTAGCTACACACGGGTGCTTGGAAGAGATTACGCAACTATAAAAACATCAGACAAAGTTAGGAAATTGTCCTTTGACAATGGCAAAATCATTGTGTTTTCTCGCCTAGATTTGGTGGGACAGTATCTTAGCTCAATGCATTCTGAAAATGCACAGACAATTCCTGCAATGCCCAACAGTTCAGATTCATGTCTGAATTTGCCCTACAATTTGAGTATGGGAGATTGGGTCTTATTGGCGCAGAGCTCTAGTTTGAAGAGTACTGTAAATCAGCGATGTGCCAGCAGAAGCTCCCAGGAGTCTATTTCAGAAACGTGCCCTCAGATGCGGAGAACTGAGCTTCCCTCCTATGCTGGAGAGCATCAATTCCCTCTGTAGCTGATACTAAATAATCTCTGCCATATGAAGAAGGATGTAAAAAGGTTGTGACGGCACAGTGAGTCACACTAAAAATTCAGGAAACATTGAAGTCATGATTGGTAGTAAAGACTGTTGTTTGCTGAGGACTCTTTTATTCAATTACATTTCATATCTTGAGCATTCCACATGTCCATGGCGCCAGTCTCAGAGGTGTGATAGGCAGCAGACAAATATTGAGATATGGACAGGCTGAGGAAAGGTCCTCCTGACTTCTTGAATCACTTGTTGTTTGCAGTAACCACTGTGCAATTTTGGAGTTAACCCACTGATGATACCAGTAGAACTGCCAGTGCAGGTGAAATGAGGGGACTGCTTAACTCATCAGTTGGACAATATTTAGTGAATGAGACTGGAATGTCTTGTAAACAGGGGAGGAGGACACGTGCAACAGGCAGATATGATGCACCTTCCTCATTAAACTTGGGAGTGAGCAAGCAGATCAGTATGTGGAACTTCTGCAGTGATGAGTTACTCAACTCTCTTTCTGTGCATCTTGTACCTCAAGAAACAGATGCATATTTTTTTCACTGGCTATTTGGATATTATCAACCTACAGCTCTACTGCTGGTGCTCAACCTGCTCTTGGCACGTTTCAGATTTGGGTCTGAATTTTCCCAACATTCACACTTCCAGGACCCTACTTTGGGCTAATGTCTAACATTTAGGTATGTGATTTATGATGTTTATTTATTAAATTATATGACTTTGGCACTATTCTCAATTCAAATAGCAAGAATACAGTCATCCAGGTACTGAAAGAAACTCATGGGTATCATTCAGAAAAACCATGGGAGATGGAGGTGCTCTTCAACTTTGCTTCTTTGAGTGTTTGATCTATGTCACTGCTGTTTTGTGCAGGGTTCTTCAGAAGGAGCATCACAAAAAATGCAGTCTACAAGTGTAAAAATGGAGGCAACTGCGAGATGGACATGTACATGAGGAGGAAATGCCAGGAGTGCCGTCTAAGGAAATGCAAGCAAATGGGCATGTTGGCTGAATGTATGTATACAGGTATTTGCATCACACAAGAAGAGTGTGCAAAGAACACATAAAATGCTTTATTTGTTTAATTGGGCTGGTTTTAATAATAAAGCTATAAAAGATTAACGATGCTGTACCTGTGCATCAAATCCTGTTGAAAAAGACAAATGCACTTATAAGCAACAGGATTTAGTCGGTCTTTAGGGACACAAGGGCTGAGCAAATGCTGAAGGAAAGGCTGTCCTGCACTAGATGACAGCCATTAGTCTGCTTGAGTGGGAAGGAAAAGCAGTCGGGGGAAGGAAGTCTACAGGAGACTCCCCAGGAGCAAGGAGTTTGCAGTGTTGTGGAAGCCAGTGCAGGAAAGCTCTGGAGCTTCCCTTTACTACTCTTTCTGGGGCTCTCTCTGTCAAGTTCTTGCTAGCCAAGTCCAAATTTTGGCATTCAAACAGTGCCATTTTCAAGAAAAGAGGGCTGCTGCTAGCAGGAAGTTTCTGCGGACTTGCCAAGTATACGTTCCCAGACCTCACCCAGCAATCAGGCAAAGCCTGCTAAGGGCTAGCCCTTTTTTATAGTCTCATTACATTTTCTTGTGGTGTTACAGATTTTTCTGCCTTGCATACAGGCACAGAGGCAGAACCATCTCCAGAAATGAAGCTGATGGACTTCAATAATGTCTCATATGAAAACAAATATGTCATTCAGACTGACAGCTTACAAACTTCATTGAGCATCACATTGAATAGCTTAGACTGGAGTGGAACTTCAAACGTGCTTAAAACTCCATTTTGAGTAAAATGTTGGCCAATCCATTATTTTTGTAAGCTTGCATCTGAAAACAGTCTGTAAACATCTGCTTTTCTGCTTTCCATGAACAGGGCTACAATTTATTTTCCTTGATGGCTCCAATCATTTTAGTATACACGTGTGTGTGAAACCAATTTCGGTTCATACAGGAAATTAATCTGCTTGGAATTTTTAATATACTTCTATCCCTCAATCTGATCAGAAGATGCTATATTAACTGTTGGTTTTGTGAGAAACAATAAGCTCCATCAATATTTGGAATGCATTGCCAGCATAATGTAATTAATCTTTCATTCTGCAAATTGAGCAGGCTACAAAGATCCTGAGATATGACATATTCTCATGCAACGCATAAATATACAAGCAGACACCACCACTGTGATGACAGCACTCGATGTGTCCCTAAGTGTCAGAGGAAAATAACTCCCCTGTGGTGCTGATCCCAGATACATAGTTCCAAAATTTTGAGGGTTCAAAATAGCCAGAGTGACTCAGTACCACAAAAAACCAACTCATGACTGAAAAAAAGGAGGTCAGTGTAAATAATACTGACTGGGCCCACATGAAACTTTTAAACTGGCCTATCGTTTTCACAAACTGGCATAAGTGAAATAAAAGCCAGCGAGTGCCACTGCCATCTGACTCCCTCTCTGCAATGGAAAAACTGGGTATCTTGTGTTGCTCATGACTTAACCATAACCGTGCTCTAATGCACTGCAATGAGGATGTTTGGCAAGGTACTATTTAATGGCTTTTAAGTAGGAGTGTGCTGTATAATTGCTTTTAGTTCAAGGCAGTCCAGGACAGTAAAACATGAAGCTTCTAGTGGTACAGAACATTTATTTGAAAAAAAATGACTAGGGAATAAAAGGTTACCTTGAACTTTGTTTCACTTACTCATTTTGTAGGACTGAAATTGCAAGCTCTGTGGATTCTTTTTTCCTCTGAACAAAGAGGTAAAGCCTTATAAACATTTAAACAATCCTACTCCTGCCCTTTATACATAAACTACAGACAGATCAAAATTGCTAACTATCATTTTCAGTCATTTGCTGTCATTTTGATATAAACTGCAAGGTTCCTAGGTGAAATGTGTACCTAGGGAAGACTCAGGTTCTGTCACTCTTCCTGGGAGGTAATACCCATTTAATACCCATGGAAACCTAGCTGTTGCTGAGGTAAAAAGTAAAGTCCTGTCTCTCACATGAGTTTTCCAACTAACTTAAACAGAGCCAGAATAAGATGTCAAGCTACTACTCAGTAGCAGGAAGCATGAGAAAAACCTGTCTTGCTGCTTAAGGCAAATAGAAACCCAATTTTCCCTAGGAAGGTAGTAGACTAGATCCTAACCTGGTGGAAAACAGTACAAGCCCATTAACACTGCCAAAGGATGCACTGAATAATTTAGAAAAAGAATTCTGTGATGCTGTGCGGCAGCACAAATTACATGGCTCGATACCAATTATTATCTCCATCACTCCTATTCCCTCCTTTCAAGGTATTATTTGCAGGTCTTATTTTAATCATGTAAATTTCCTCTTTTCTCAGCAGTTCAGGTAGGTTATTTTATATAGTGCTTAAACAGGAAATTAAAAACATTCACAACGAAATTTTCTGTTTTCATGGTATCTTCCTCTACTATCATATACTCACTGAATGAGCCTCTTTTCCTGCTCTGCATTTTCAAAGGTGAAGAATGGGAAGAATACTTGAAAGAAGCTCAAAAAAAAAAAACAAAACAAAAAAACAAAAAAAAAAAACCAAAAAAAAGCCAAACCCAAACCAAAAGAAAGTCCTGTGCTAATAGGTTTATTTTTAGACAAATACTTAGCTGTTTACTTTTTCATTTGTGCTTTCTGGCTGTCTTTGTCAGTTTGTGCAGGGCACCTATTGTCCCTTTCTTTTGTTAGCACAAGCAAACTGCTAGTTTTTATGACGTCTACACAAGGATACTGCCTGGTTCAAGGTACTGAAATGTAGCCTAGAACCAAAAAACCCCCACAAATGCAGAATTCCTTTCACTAGGGCAACTGAAACTCTACAGTAAAACCAGGGCTTTATTCAGTCCTCTAATTCAATGAACGGCAAAATAGCAAGAACAACCGGGTAACATTTAAAATGAACACATTTTATGGGTACATTTGCCAGTTGGAGTTACTTTTAAGCCTACATTTTCAGCTCTTGGTCTATCTGTATAGTGGCACTGTAATGGCTTAAGCCCTGAAATCCTCTCCTCTGAGAGGGCTTTCTGGGCGAAGATTCTGCACTACAGCCATACTATTGCTGGAAGATTATTGAAAACATCCAGTGCCTTTTGTGTAAGAACAGCTGCACCTCGGTTCCTGTTTTGGATTGCAGGAGGAGCACACTTTTGATGAGAGTCTTCCAATTGACCCCATCTATTGTGCTTTGTTTTGGGGTTTGGAAAACATTATGGGATTTTCTCTGGGATGAAACTAAACCAAAGACATGCTCCAGCACACTCCCATCACTTGTTTTCTGTCTGCATGACCAGATTAGAGCTGGTCCAAAACGAGACTCTTGACATGCATACTGTGTGGATGCTGCGTCACCAGCACCAACTGTTTTGCTCTGCAGATGGGCTCCTGCTGGGCTAGACTACTCATTAGCGTGTACTTAGTATGTCTCATTACACTCACATCCAAAGATAATGACATGTTCAGGAAACAATCTGCTGAGGTAAGTGGGTTTGTAAATGGCATGTTTATGTACCTGTTCAGTGCCTGAGGCACATATAAATCCAATTGCTATCTGTTGTATTATGTGTTCTAGGTCTGTTAACAGAAATACAATGCAAGTCAAAAAGGCTACGGAAAAACGTGAAACAGCCCCCAGATCAGACAGTCAATGAAGATAATGAAGGCCATGACATGAAACAAGTGACATCTACAACCAAAATATCTAGGGTAAGAAAATTCTTGTAATAGTTCATATGGTACTGGTGGTGTTTGAGATAAATGTGGGTAGTACCATGAATACAGAGTACTTGCTAACTCTCTGGAGCTGTCTGTGTTAATTAAAACTCCATTTCCTACCAAGACAAGGAAATACCTTGAGTATAGAAGTAGTTAAGGTATTTTTAGTCAAATCTCTGTAAAACATCCATAAAATCTATAAAGTGTTTTGTTTTTTTTTTTTCTGTGATACATATGTCAGGTGTATATCACATACAGTGAGGTGTGAAAGTAAAGTTTGAGCATACCAAGTTATTTGCTAAACATGTCCTTATTTCTCATAATAAACCACACAAACTCATACAGTTTAAAGCGTTATACACTTCTCTTCTGCACACTTCTTTCTATAGAAAACTCAGTGACAAGCAAAACTCTTGTCTTCTTGGTCCCCAAGTGTGAGAAATAGAATTTTTTGCCTAAAGCAAGAGATGCTAGATCATTTCTATGACTGCATTTCATGATGGGCTTTTTTTTTTTGCCAGTATAGGAGAAAGTAGAATTTACCCCAGAACAGCAGAACCTTCTTGATTACATCATGGATTCATACAGTAAGCAACAAATACCACAGGAGGTGTCAAAAAAGCTAGTAAGTACCTTGATGAATTAATTTGTGAGATGCGGATAATGAAGCTGAGGATACACGGCAGAAAATATTTGTACTCAGCATAAGTAGGTGTAGTAAGTAGTAAAGCAAACTATGGGTAAAAGCTTACAGTTAAAACATACTGCAAGGGGGGGGGTAGAATCTTTGTTTATCAAACTTAAATGCTAAGAAAAAGCTTTCAACTCTGGAAATACACTTTTATGCTCAAATCTAACCTTAGCTGACTGGAGCTTTGTTTTTTGCATTGTCATTACAAGCAGTGATTTGAGTTAGACTTGCAGTTAAGCTTCCTTTCTATAAAGACACCAGCCTGGAAGCTTGAAAATAGTTCATTATTTTGAACCCAGGTTCCCAACATTTTCCAGGTTGGGACTTTTGTTTCATGCCCTCTTCTTTCTTTTTCCTCTCCACCTTCTAGAAATTCCATTTTCCTTTTAAAAGCTCCCAGTATTCACAGTAGGATGGAAAATGGTTGAGGAACTGCAAGAAGAGGAGGAAAAAAGGTTTAGGAGAATTTTTTTTTTTTTTTTACAAATCTGTCACATTCAATCTTAAAAAAAACCCCAAACCAAAGCAACTGTAGAAAATTATTCCCTAAGTCATCAACTTTTAAAAATAAAAGGAAGACACATGCAGGGGGAGGGTTGAATAACCCGTAACTAACTTGTGGAACTTATTTCCATGGTAGGTTGAGGTTAAAATCAAAAATACTTTCAAAAAGGAAATAGACAAATTCATGCACAGCGAGTATTTTGGTTACATGTTATGGTGCTCATAAAACTTGTAGCTCAGGAAGTGCCTAAATCACTGGTTGCTAGACATGACATTGAAAGTGAGACAGAAATGCCAGAAGGAAGGACACTGTCTACTTCTTTCCTTATGTTGCCTTCAAAAATGCCTGGTTTTGACACCATTGGGGACAAATTACAGGGTTAGATGGACTTATTGCCTGATACAGTCTAAGAATTCTTGTATTTTATGCTTTTAAATGTGAAGTGACAATGAGTATTAACAGATTTCATTTGGATTTTTAACAGTTACATGAAGAATTCAGTGCTGAAGGAAATTTTCTGATTTTGACAGAAATGGCTACCAGTCATGTGCAGGTTCTTGTGGAATTCACTAAAAAACTACCAGGTATATCCAGTGTGTTGGGGCGAACTTTGTTATTGCAAAGCTTACATGTCTTTCAGTTGCCATTTGGCAATTGTTGTGTGTATTTTGAACGCTATATAAAAATGCCTCCTCCTCTGATACATATGCATTCTTTGTACACCGTCTAAGGATAAAGAGCTTTGTGCTTGGAGTAATAACATGTTGAACAATTAAAACTCTGCCACTCTGAGGTGTGGCACTCCTTACCTATTGACAAACAAAACTCAGAAAAGGGGTCGTGTCTCTAGAGAGATTTTATTTTCACTGCAATGCCAAATATTCTGCCTTTAAATTACCACTAAGACTTGACAGACTCTGCTTCAGTCTCTTTGCTGCCTTTCTAGCAAAGCCTCTAGGTCATGGCATCCACTAACTGTGAGTCCTAACTAAGAACTCTGGCTGCTTGGTGGCACAAATATTTATGGTCCTTGCACAGTGTGTTATGGACAAGCACTGAAAACCTGAGTTTATCATTAGTATTTTTTTTAACTCCCAAGTTGATGTTACCTCGAGTGAGCACTGGGAATCGTACAGGTTCCTCGTAATTGAGGAAGGTGCAGTGTAATGCTTAGCTCTATGTAAGCAGTATTTTTCTGCCATTCCCATCATATTGACCTTCCTCTGTGTGTTACAGGCTTGCTTTGAAGCCTAGCACTGCTGTTGTAACTATATTTTTCATGCTAAATGGGCTACTGGCTTGCAGGATATCAAGAAGTGAGGAGCTTTGCAACTGAACTATCTGCTATTTTTGGTGTTGATTTAGAGTACCTCTGGCAGGATTTATCACCTTTTTCTTTTTCATTCTCTACTTTATCTTTTTCTATGCTTCCTCACAGAATCAGGGGGTGGGTATAAGGTGGGTACCTGCATTGGCAAGTGTGAGGAGAGTTTCCTATGATCTTCATCCTCACGTTCTTCTTCAGATGAGCAGTTCTGTATTCACACAAGTTACCAAATTTATTCTGATTTCTTCAGTGGGTTTTAGACTCTTTCCACTCAAAAAAAAACAAAAAACAAACAAAAAAAAACCACACAACAACAACCCAAAACAAAACAAAACAAAACATATTTAGAGGACAGCAGGAAGCCTGTATGTAAATGGGTATCTTAGTCCAAAAGCAAGGTGAAATACTTAAATTAGATGCTTCATATACTGATTTTTGCCATCAGAGCATGGAAAAGGCTGAAAGCAGCATGGCAGAGGGAGAGTCATACAGAGAGCTCTGGCAGAAACATGGCAGAAGATGTTAGGCAGCACCTTCAGGCTACACAAAATCTCTACTATTGGTTGTGCTACGCCACTAGATTTTGCTTATCATGTTCCTCTTAGAGTACCACGAATGCTGAAACAAAAGTCTAATTCTCATAAACTTCAGTTATTTTCTGGAATCTGGGTTTCAATTTCCACAGCACTTGTCACCCCTGCTAACATCAACATCAAGGTTACACAGATGTGTAGCACCTCACACGCAAGAAATTCAGGACAGATAGTAGCGGGGGCTTTTCTTTTGCTGCCTTACTTATTTCTAACATCTCCCCAGGCTTCCAAACCCTTGGTCATGAAGATCAGATTGCTTTGCTGAAGGGCTCAGCAGTAGAAGCCATGTTCCTCCGTTCAGCTGAGATCTTCAGTAGGAAACTTCCTACAGGACATACCGTCCTTTTAGAAGAAAGAATTCGCAATAGTGGTAAGCATCTTGCTTAACAAGGGAAAAACAAAACACACCATTGCACTTCTGGTCAGTATTTTGCCCTTGAAAAGCTAGTAAAATTGTTTATTAGCATTGAAACACGTTTATCTGAATGTTGTTCTTTATATTAACTAGAACAAATCTAACTCAGCCTTGAGTCTAAAGGTCATAAGGTAAAGGTTTATTTATAAATACATTGCAAGTACTATGAATGACACTGTATCAAATAAACTCAGTGCAAGCCTCAAATTATAAGCGTTAAAGAACAAAGAAGTAACACAATTTCAAATTATTAATTTAAAATATCAGTATTTATGTTTTGAAATGCAATCACTGTGAGGAAGAAAGAAAGAAAGAAAGAAAGAAAGAAAGAAAGAAAGAAAGAAAGAAAGAAAAAAAAAGGTGTTAGGACGTTCCTGGAGATGCCTG